ACTGTATTGTATATATAATAAATAAAATCTTTAAAAAAAAATAAAAATAAAAATGCTCTCTGTGTACAGAACTTTCAGCTGTTCCTCATTTGGGAGTTAATACTCATGGGCTTGCCCCTAATCATTTATGGCAAATGGATTTTGCCCATGTTCCTTCTTTTGGGCATATGCGATATGTTTGCTTCAGCACATGCAGGAGAAAAATCATGGGATGTTAAAAGTCACTGTCTCCAGGCTTTTGCCTACATGGGAGTTCCAAAAACTGTAAAAACTGGCAATGGGCCAGCCTACACCCAACTCTGGCTTTGCTAAATTTTGCTGAGTTCTCCATTTCTCATAAAACAGAAATACCTTATAATTCTCAAGGACAAGCTATAGTGGAGCGAGTGCATCATATGTTCAAAGCCTATTTGCATAAAACAAAAAGGGGGGAATATGGTTCCACCACCAGAAACCATTTGTCTTTTATTTTACACATTTTAAATTTTTCGAATGTTGATGCTTAATCTTGTATGCTGCTGACCGGCATCGGCAGCCAGTTTCTTCCGGGATGCCTCATGGCAAATGGAAGAATCTAGCAGATGGCACTTGGTGTGGTTTAGATCCTGTACTGGTGTTGGGAAGAGGGGCTGTTTGTGTTTTCCCACAGGATGATGACAATCCAGTATGGGTACCTGAGCATCTGGTGCATGCTGTGGATTTTCCTGTCCAGAAGCCTGAAGACAGGGTAGAGCCAAGAGATCAAATAGATACTGGCTTGTCAACTGAAGAGTTGCTGGGATCCTGAGGTCCTGGCTGTGGTGGTCTGAGTGCCAAGGATTGTTCCTCTATCAACACATCCCATGATAATGGCAGCCATTGCTGTGGCTGCCACAGCAGCTAGGGCTGCTGGATTTCACCTTAGTCAGTCAGTTGCTTCTGCTAGCACAATGGATACCTTATCAGGGCAGGTTCCAAATGCCTTGACCACTCAAATTGAGCTAATTTTTTTTAAAGACTAGTCAAGTGCAGTAGTGAGAAGGGGGGAAAGTGTAGAACAGGAGTTCAATCTGTAACTGACTGTGAACAATCAATTGAGATAATTCACTACCTTCGGACCAGCCAAATTGAGCTAAATTTAAAAATGAATATTGCAGTTAGTTTTGCAATTGGTTTTGGTTAAAGACTACTGCTGGGTTATACAGTAAAAGGGTTATTGCTGTTATTCATGAACCATGGAGTGCACAATTTACAAACTGGCTCTTGAGATTATTTTAGTTAACTATACCAGGGTTCATCCCACCAGTTCTGAGACCTTACTTAAAGGGCTCCAATTTAGGCAGTCTTATTTAGGATTGAGCAGGCACAGTCTCCTTAAGGAGAGCTTATATGTGCTGGAGCATCATCTTCATGGTTTCATGGTGCCAGAGCCAAAGAGAAGCTCAGGTCAATGTCGACACATGGTGAGTCCGCTTAGTTATTACCCCGAAGGATCTTTCAGTGCAAATATGGCTGAACTCAGTGATGGGCGACTAGTGAGCCAATGACAGGAAAGGTTTTGGGGGGGCTATTCCAACCTAAGACAGGAAATGTTTTGACCTGGACACTTTCCCATGACAGATAAGGGGTATAGCCTCACATCCAATGCCACCTTTGGATTGATATGATAAATTATATGATAGTCATATAATTTATATAAAAGGGGGACCTGTAGGGTCCATGGGTCTACCCCTGCTCCTGTGGATCATCTTGAGGAGTTTCTGGCTGGCCAGCTAAAACATTGTTTGTTTCTATGCTCCCTCTGCCCTGCCTGGTGATTAGCTGTAGGGCATTGTTTACTCCATCTTGGGTGTGGCAATTTCCCACCTGCCTGGGGGGAATTCCTTGTGCAGCAGCCAGGTTTTTAAGGATTTCCCCAAGGTTGAATAAATGGAATTCAGCTTAATCTCCTTTCAGATCGGGTCTCTTGTGTGTTCTTTCAATCTCCAGGCTCTTGCCTGGCATGCCTGTGGTACAGTGGCCTATGGTACAGTGGCAGAGAGGGTAACGCAGATACTCAAATAATATTTATCTCCCTTCTCAGGCCTTTGATGGGGTTGAAAATTAGATAGTTGTAGTTACTGTCCTTTTATGATCTAGCCAAACCCATTTTCTATATAAGACTTAGACTATATAGGACAGAATGTTTATTAAAAACATTTAGCATATGTTCCTTGCTTGATATTGTTTATGCTGGTTGTATTTCTAATTATAAATGATATCTGTTCCTAGTGCATATAGTTTTGTATTGGGTTTGGAACTCTTATTTAAACAAAAGGGGGAGGTGCTGTGGGAGCACATTCTGCTCTTTCAGCCAATAACCTTTAAGTAACCAGCCCACTTGGGTGTGGCCCCTTATACTGTAAAAGCAGCTGTAAATGTATACCCACTCTCTTACTTCTGGCTCCTTCTTCCAGCTGCAAGACTCTGTTCCTGTTCACACAGAGGACTGTCTTGGAAAGTGATCTGTAAGTTTTCCTCATAAGTAAACAACCCCTTTATTACTCATAATTCTGAACTGGTGTGGGATTAGAAAAAAGAAAGCATATTTAACAAATGGTATTGGCATAACTGGATATCAACCTGTAGAAAAATGAAAATAGATCCATATCTGTCACCATGCACAAAACTCAATTCCAAATGAATGAAAGACCTCAATATAAAGCCAATCACACTGAACCTCACAGAAGAGAAAGTGAGAAGTATACTTGTATGCATTGGCACATGAGATCACTTCCTAAATATAACCCCAGTAGCACAGACACCAAGAGAAACAATAAATGGGATTGTCCTGAAACTGAAATGCTTTTGTAAACAAAGGGCAGAGTCAACAAGACAAAATGGTAGCCTAGAGAATGAGATAATATCTTCACTAAGCCCACATCAAACAGAGGTTTGATCTCCAAAACATACAGAGAACACAAGAAATTGGTCATCAAAAGAACAATAAAAATCTGGAGTACAGACCTAAACAGAGAACTCTCAACAAAGGAATCTAAAATGGCTGAAAGACACTTAAGGAAATGATAAACATCTTTAGTCATCAGAGAAATGCAAATCAAAACAACTCTGAGATTCCATCTTACACCTGTAAGAATGGCCAAGATCAAAAACACTAATGACAACTTATGCTGGAGAGGCTGTTGAGTAAAGAAAGCACACCTCAGTTGTTAGTGGGAGTGCAAGGTGGTACAGTTGCTTTGGGTATCAGGATGGTGATTTCTCAGAAAATTAGAAAACAACTTTCCTCGAGATCCAGCAATACCACCTTTGGGTATATATCCAAAGGATGCTTAACATAAGGACATGTGCTCAACTATGTTCATAGCAGCATTGTTTGTCATAGCCAGAACGTGCAAAGAACCTAAATGCCCCTTGATCAAAGAATGGATAAGAAAATGTGGCTTATTAAACAATGGAGAAAAAATTAAACACAGGAAAAAAAAGACATCTTAAAATTTGCAGGCAAATGGATGGATCTAGAAAACATATAGAGTGAGATAACCCAGACCCAAAAAGACTAATATCATTTGTGCTCACTCATAAGCGGATTTTAG